GCAAGAGTGATGCGAGGGACAATAAGAACTGTTCATTATTGCCTGAGGGGTCATGCCGACCAGCTATCGCCAGTTGTACTGCCCTTAGGTAGCTACTCGCCCAAGGGCTTTTCACAGGGAAAATTAGCACGATGTTTTTCCAGGTTACATATTTGAATATAATCGTGTACATTTATTTGTATATATTTTAAAGAATAGATTCAAGTAAATATATGTTTGAAACATTGCATGACACATATATGTTTGGTGTATCCATACTGCTCCGTCTTAGCCTCTCTCTCTCTCTCTCTCTCTCTCTCTCTCTCTCTCTCTCTCTCTCTCTCTCTCTATCTCTATCTATCTTTCTCTCTCTCTCTCTCTCTCTCTCTCTCTCTCTCTCTCTCTCTCTCTCTCTCTCTCTCTCTCTCTCTCTCTCCTTATCTAGGAGTTGCCGCATCACATAAGTTATTGCCAACAGGTTTGCGCTTTAGGATCAGTTTTGTGTCGGGGAAGTGGAACGAGTCCCGCCAGGCCCTTATGAGCGTTTCACTTATACAGCTTTCTGGACATATTCTTGTTGCTGACGGTTATCCAAGAATAGCATTTGGCGCGGACCTGCCGTCCTGAAAGATTTCCCACAGCTCTTGTGGGTCCAGAACAAGCAAAAAAGCCCAGGCTGACGGATTGTCATGATGGTCTGTTTTACGCTTGCCTTCGCCTGTTGTCAGACCTCAAGCGCTAGGAAAAATGTGAGGTCAAATGCTAAGCTAAATGTCCTGGCTTTTCGGATCCGTGAATGAAATGAAAGCCCGGGAACAAAATGCACTGACCGTATCCGTGATGAACAAGAATAGTCCATTTTTGACGCTATATGCGCAGCCAATGGACAAGGTACAATTAAATATATTAATGTTTAGCACTCCAGGACCACCAGTAAAATCTATTTGCAGGATGGGGGCAGGAAGGCAATAACAGACATTAATGTCATGACATCTATCTATCTCCTATTATAATAAAGGGGCACTGTGTGTGTGTGTGTGTGTGTGTGGGTGTGTGTGTGTGTGTGGTGTGTTTGTGTGTGGTGTTGTGTGTGGTGTGTGTGGTGTGTGTGGTGTAGTGTGTGTGGTGTGTGTGTGTGTGTGCTGGTGTGTGTGTGTGTGTTGTGTGTGTGTGTGTGTGTGGTGTGTGTGTGTGTGTGTGTGTGGTGTGTGTGTGTGGTGTGTGTGTGTGTGTGTGGTGTGTGTGTGTGTGTGTGTGTGGTGTGTGTGTGTGTGTGTGTGTGTGTGTGTGTGTTGTGTGTGTGTGTGTGGTGTTGTGTGGTGTGTGTGTGTGTGTGTGTGTGTGTGTGTGGTGGTGTGTGTGTGTGTGTGGTGTGTGTGTGTGGGTGTGTGTGGTGTGTTGTGTGTGTGTGTGTGTGTGTGTGTGTGTGTGTGTGTGTGTGTGTGTGTGTGTGCGTGTCCGCCACTTCGCTAGGATCACCTGCAATCTACACGATAAGGAATTTTGAAATAAAATTTTCACGCAACCAATGCCTGCTGGCAAATCGCGCCTAAGTCACGCCAAAATTCTGCAGTTCACAGAAAATGAGCGCGTGGTGAGCGAAAAATTGCGCAAAGCCCTCATAGTTTTAACACGAGTGACGCCAATTTCGCGGCGACCAGCCGACGGCTCGACACGCTCCGTTTCTCGGAGCTCATATCTCGATAACCAAAGGTCGAAGTGGCATGAAACTTGCACGCCCAGATGGGCAATTACATGGGCCATCGGACTGGTGTAATTCTGTAGCACCACGTGACACGTGGCACGTGCACACGCAGTGAAAAGACCAAATGGATCGTTTTTTATGGGTTTTTTCGTTTTGGGCCACATATCGACACCGGGTGCGCGCACAAGCGTGAATTTGGTTTCTCTGTATACAGGCATTTTGGCGTTGGTAACTCGGTATGTGTTTACTTAACTATGCATTCACAAGAAATAAGTGTTTACAATTTATGTACCAAACGCAAACCGTTTACGCACACGTTCTCGATACTCCAGAATTCCGTTGACAAAAAATATAGCTTTCATTTAATGTTAAACAAAACTTAGTCCCACCTCTACACACCATTTAGAACATGGTCCTCAGTGAGGCAACACTGCTGTTGGTAAGATGCAGTTACGCTGGTATACGAACTATTAGGCAAACTTGAGCAATATGCGACGTCATGCAATCCATCGTGATCACAAGCAGCGCTGGTATTCATCGACGACATGGCGCATTCGAGTTCAAGTTCGGCAACATCTCGCAAGCAAAGGAAACCGCACGCCAGTGCGACAGCAAGTCCCGTAATCCACCAGAGTCGCTGCCAATAGCTTGTCGGAAGGCTGCATCCTGATGTAAGCGCTGAGCTGGTTGGCTCGGCCTACCAGCTCATCTAGAAGCTTTATTGCAATGGTCCCTTGCCACCGACAATGCTTAGGAGTGCGCGGTGCTCGTTTGTGGGCCCCGCCGTCTCCATGCGTCATTAGATATCTTCTCCGTGGTCAGAGCGGCTGCTCCCGACGACCCAGTTGTCTGCACACCGTGTCGGTGTGGCGGATGACACAGTGTAGTGCCATGACCTTAATCACACCCGATACAGAGTGAGAGCTGCCGGGTTGCGAATCGGGACTTCCCGCTTGCGGGCGGAGAGGGGGGGAGGGAGGAAGCTTGAAAAGCAGCGGTTTTGCAACGGTCAGGAACGGACCACGCTGCTCATCTGGTAAAAAAGGTGTCAGGATAGCGTTTTGGTTGGCTACGGTGAGATCCTGCAGAAAGGGCAAATAACCATTGCCGTTGACGCGCGTTTTAACCCCCAACAATCAACTAATGATATTTTGCAGACGGGTATCAGTGCTCGTTTTCCTTCTTTGTTTTGTTTTTGTTTCTGCTGTTGCATTTTACGTTCAAAGTAGAGGCCTACAGATGATGGTTACTGCAGTGGCTGGGGATGATATCCATGTGTTGGATGAGGTTCGGAGAGATGGTGATAACGACGTGCAACGAAGACTCACATTCATTTCGCAATTGGGATGCTAGTGTGAACATATTCGGGTGAGCGAAAAATGTGTCACCACCTGACAAACCCAGTGCATGTAATG